TGGACAACGCTCCACGAACTTTGAGGACACGAGCCACCATGCCCTTCATCTGAGAACAACGATACCAGAGGCCAATCTATGTTCAAGCATGATCATCCCCTGCATCTGGCGTCTCGGGGTTTACTGTATGTACGCTATAATAATGCTGCAATAATGCAGCTACAGAGCTACCTACATCGTTGATCCGTTTCAGGTAAGTCACATTTTCCGCAACTTGATAGGCGGTTCTGTTGCATATCGTTTCCTAATTCGAGGTATTTGATGACCTTGTTCGCTTGAACAAATCGCGCATGGCGAGAATTCGAACTTGAATTGGATGCGAATCAGCGTAAACCAATGACGATGGGGGAATTGAAAGTGATTAGCAATATTGTGTGGGACAGCACTCATTGAAGCCGAGGTCACTCACCAACAGTTTGGTGAAGCGAAGAAAACCACAAATGACGAAAAGTTGGGACACCTTTCACGCTGAGTTACGTTCACCATTCTATGCTTGCCTGGTCCTGTACGGTGGGTGATTTGATATGCTACTGATGATTAGTTGCGAGATTTGCAGAATACTTACTCAAATTAATCTCCCTCGAACGATCCATATATTGTCCAGCTGCTATCCGCACAAAATTTGGGGTGCATGGTTGTGGCTATAAAAACACCCAAGCTAATCGATGTTAAGCACTAACGTACAACTCCTGGAGGGTGGGTCCGTCAACCTCAGAATCCACGTCACATTGTCACATATTGGCTGGCTCCATAAGTGACGATTTGTCGGACAGCAGTTTCACTCCTCTTGTAAAACCACTCTTACTTTGAGCGAATTTTAGACAGGAGATTCAGGAGGTTTGTTGAGGCTCAGCAGAAATCTCACCATTTTGGTGAAGCCAATCCGCGCTTAACAGCCGAGAAGCATTGTACACAGCTGAGTACCACACAAAAGCAAAACACCATTTGCGGAACTGACCCAGTATCCCTTAAAAAGCCTTACCCCTCAAACGCTGGGGACAAAACGTCAGACCGTCTAACTATGCGGTCCAGTTGCGAGGTGACAGCATGCTCATCTCTGGGAATTTTTATCTGAAATGACCCATCGGGCAAATCACGTGAAAATCATCCAGAAAGGCTCCAGAGTCTCTTAGGAATCAGTTTGCCTGTAATTGCTTATAGTCACGACAGCGTAGTACCGGTGTTGAACACTGATGTCGTGCTCTCGATGATAATGCGTATAGCTGCCGTTGTAGTACCATGGTATATCTCTTACATTCATTTTGCTCCTAAATAACTGGAATGGAAAACGTGGTTCAGTTTGCCTAGTACATACATCAACCAAAAATTGGTGAGATGCTCACTTCTCTGACCGCGCTGACTCGCTATCAGGCGATTTTTGTGCGCCGTTTATTTGAAGGCAGTCTGCAGTCAGCTAACTTCTGTTCTGCTGCAAAAGGAACCAATTATTTAAGGTCCTCAGGTCTAATTGTTCACAGTTGAAAACCACAAAAGTGGACTGTGCTTAGAATTACAATTGAAGTTTTGTTTTGCACCTGAAGTCAATCCACGCGAAAATCCTCAGAATCATTGTACAACTGTTTCCCCGTTATTGAGAGTCATCGGGAGTGCCTCTCCCACGAAACTCTAATAGAGATCCTCGAAACCGCGACCCCAGGCAGGTGGTTTGGTCTGGCGATTGATTAGCACTGTGATTACCTCGCACGTAGATAAAGACTTAGGCCTGCTCATCCTACGTATCACCTGGGGCGACTGATCCCCGTAGAAAGACTTCTCAAATGGAGCTTCCAGTCGTCTTGACATGACTTACGCGTATGCTTTTCGCGTATGCAGCTGTCAACCGATCAACGAACCCAGGCCTTTTACTCCTGAGTTTTAAAAAGGGCCAATGGTCTGAAACGCAGAAGCGTGACCGCAAGTCGAAAAACGGATCAGGTTGGGCATTCTGTTTAGCTCGTTCCGGCTTCTGGTCGTCCACTGACAGGACAACTTTACCTGGATCGCCTTAGCAAACTTAGTTCCCCAGGTTTCGCTTTCTTCGATGTCTGTGTGCATGCCGTGAACAAAACGGAAATATGGGAAGCTGCTGAGAACACTATTTACCCTGAAATGACTTTTTAAACTTTAACGAGACCAGAAATAGCATAACTCAGAGCTCACAAGCTCTAAGAGCATCCGCTTTCTAAGTGCCCACAGAAGCGTCACGGATGAGCATTCTCTTCCGTGACAAGAAAGACACCGATTGTTTGTCAATGACCAGCTTACAGCTGCCAGAGTGTTTGGTGAAAAACCAACAAGTACACTTCCTTTACCTGATCAAAACCCTAACTCATTCCCGATGAATCGCTCCCCACGAGTCAGAATGAGGCATCGGATTATCAGACAGAATGTGGCTACTCTGTGATGGCCGGCTGGTACGGTCGTTTTAGGTACCACTTCAGATAAGACTACGATCACTGTTTGTTCATAAAGCGATCTTGTACTCAGACGAATCCAGTCCATTTAGCCGTAGACGGAACTCAAAGGCTCACGACTGGTAGCTACTTCCGACGGAACTTCATCTGGTCTAACAGCTCGATGCCGTATCGAGGAAAACAAGTTCATTAATATTTCATAAACTCGGGAAAACTGAACTAAAGATAGATCTAACACAAGGTATATACAAAGACTGACAGCCAGATGGATTGTTCGTAAAACACACCCGCAACCCACACAACCTTTATTCTACAGTATGTTCCAAAAAGTCTGTTTAACTTTCTGACGAATAATTCTTGTATTCAGGTTTTGTACAACCTACATTCATATATTCCCGACTGTCCCAGTCTCCATCTGCTGAGACTTATGACTCCTCCAAGCTTCTACATCTGTGCCAAGGCTTACTTGGAAGCGAAATCTAGTCCAGGATGTGGACAACTTACATCCCGAGCCCAAAGGCTGCTTATGAGTGACTGAATGGCAAGCTTTGATGAATCTCTCCTGTCGCTAAATGAGGTTCCTCAGGTTTGTCTCAGAAATGTAATGAAAATCTACGTTGTGCATACCCGATAGAAATTTAAAGACTAACGAATGTCAACATTTGACATCTTGAGGACCTTATGCCAGCGGTTGGACACCTGTTGAGACATGACGTCCATTATTCTATGGAGATAATTTGGTATTCTTTCTTCATCGTCTTAAGAAATTTGTCGAAACATATCAGCAAAGTGCCCAGGGGCAATAAGGTGAAAAGATAGAGACCAGTAAGTTTCTTCTTCGGTGTCGGTTAGCCAGACCGGTCGCTCCGGAACATGATGATTTGTGTACAAGTTACAATCCCATAATTGTTTTGGGGGCTTATTGCGAGTAAAAAACGTTTGGCCCACCGGGACTGGTCACAGTGTTCTGTCGGAATGGTCCTCCATCTTCTGGGATGAGAGCAAGGAGACTGGACGGGGTGGTTGGTCACCTCGCAGACCACGTGACACGGATGAATAAGTTTAGTTATAGATCTGAAGTCTGACCTGAATCAGTCATTTTCATATTTAGATGAGTATGTGGACCATTTTGTTCGAATGTTTGTTGATCCGCGCCATGGATAAGATGATCATAGGCTTGAGTTTGTCTGGATGTTAAGGCATGAGCTCACTGACTGAAAGGTCAGTTAGCTGGAGCCAAATTTCGACATCTCGACTACTTCTGCTGGGCCTGAGCAATCCAGAAACTTATCCCATATTCTGATCACACATCATCTTGGCATCGAAATGGCGTTAGAGTTCAATGGTTATTCTTTATTTCTATCTTAAAGCTGGATACCAGTCTACAAGTAGGTCGACAGAAGCGTAGATTCTAGGCTTTTACGACGAAACAGCCAAAGAAATCACGTCCCCCTGTAGACTCACCTAAGCTTGCTGAGAACCGATCAACTCGTTGCTGAGTAGACGTGCCTAACCAATCTCAAATGCTCCGAACAGCGCATTTTGAGGACTATTCGCAAAGTATGTTGAGGAGTTATCCACCAGTTACCAACTATCAACGGAGTAATGTCTTCCCCTCAAAATTTTAGAGTGTATTCCTAAGCAGTTGCTTTGCTTACAACTACATATAGCTCACAGGATTTGGCACAGAATCACAGTAACTACGAGTGTCCTCTCCCAAACGTTCCCAAGCACGCACCTGTAGAGCTATACTAACTAGGAGGTACATGCCAAAAAACTCTCTGCCAGGACTGCCAGGTGAATGAACTTCTGGACGATCTGAGTTCGAACCACAAGTAAGCTCCTTGAAATTGACCACCGGGCTCTATCCTGTCAAGCTTTACACATACTGTTCGGAAAATGAAGGTCCAAAAGACAATGAATATCTAAATAATCAGTAGCAGTATTCGAACCAAGGATCAACAGAGCAGGGTGACGAATTAATTCTGCACAAAGTTATGAAAAACACGGTAGCTACACAAAGAATATAGTGCGGTTCAACCTTGTATAATATAAATAAATCCCAAGCAACTTGAACTGACCAATAAAACTGCAGCAGTCCGGTGGGGTTGTTCGATTCGTATCGATTGGTCCATGATGCATCGAATATTCCGATCTTTGAAACATTTTCTTCAACAACGGCTTGGAGTTATGAACGACAGCCTTAAATTTTATCTTCATAACCTATTGGGGCTTTTGATCGATAACAGCTGGCGTCACACACAAGACCTGCTCTCGTGCAACGAAATTACTCCTTGTCACCGATTGTGCACTGTATCCATCTGAACAACTTTGAGAAACGCACTGATTTCCGGCAAGCTTCATAGTGCTTCTCGGTTTTTCGTTGAACCTAACTACACTCCCTTGATGGAATACGGGTGTACGATTCTAAAACTACTCCACTACCCTAGAATTCTAGGAATATTTAACTCAATCCGCTTCATCGTTTTTTCTGATCAGTACTCACACTGCAATGGACCTTTCTTAATCTCGCTGCTGAGTGGAACGGTATTTTCTGCCAAACCAGCAGCTAGACTGATGAAAAACCACACATGAAAAGCTCATCTCTGTCTTCAACTATTCGAATTGGACAGTGATGTAAGACGTTACTGTTTTCGTGCCATCGTCCGGTGTGCTGGAACAATACAACATGGACAAATGAAGTAAAAAAAAATTAGTTTACGAATGGAAAGGCTCCTTCGATATGGGTCAGATTTGTGTGGTTAAAATGTGTGAAGAAAGACGTCATTTTGTTTTTGAGGGAAATCTGGGTAAATGTTTGCACATAAACCTATCAACTCTTGGCATTCATGGCAGCAGGGATCTTGTTAACACCTTCTTGGTGGGCTAGTTCTTCATCAGCCAATCGCTTGCGATTTGCCACAGCCTCACGACTGTAGTAGACTCCATAGAAGAAGTAGATGAGTAGGCCTGTGTGAAGGACGTGAGGGAGGGGTGGTAAAACTTTTTTAGCAATGTGTTCATAGAGATCGAATCAATCTTGGAAAAATTCTGTGCACATCAAAACGACTTCAGTACATGGGTGCTCTCCCTAAGATGAGGTAACTGTGTATCCAAAAAATGTAGGCCGGAGAGGACAACGAATGCTTACCACACGGGATCTTCATGGGTTCCACACTGAACTGTTACTTGATGATAATTTTGTCTGACTGTTCTTATAACAAACAAACACGCAGAAGCCAGACTCCGTAAACACTGTGGCCTTTAAATATTTAACAGTTCCCAGCTGACTTGAAAATTATAGACCCTAAGCTGTACATGCCGGTGGTTTGTATGCTCGTTGTTCACCACCATAAAAGAGATTTCCACCTGGGGTCTAGGTGAGTCTTCTGTAAAAAACCAAATTGGCAAGCAAACGAGTGCATTTTTCGCATTTAGCGTGACTCTGAATCAAGCAGAACACAAAGTTGATGGAGTCGCGGGGAATGCGCCTACCTGCTAGGCCCCAGAAAGGGCAAAACCGACCGTGAACTATCGAAGAAACTTCAGTAACCTTATGAGTAGTGGGTTCTATACAATGTATGGCCATATCCGGAATATCGACTGGCACAGTGCATTCCTCTGAAGAAAAAACGCATAAACCTAGTACTCAGCTGGGATTAAGGTGGGTGCTTCGTGAAGACCAAACTGGTTTACAAACCAGTCTATCTGTCAAACTTCAGTTCATGATCCTTTGGGTCTACGCCTGTTGAAAGAGATTGAGCCGGTTGAGCACGTGATTCAGCACAAACTGCATCTCAGAGTCGACTATCGCGCTGGGCTTGTATACGGTATTTAATGTGACAGTCATACCCGGCGACATATGGTGGGTCGCTGTGCACGTGAAACTGAAAATAAGCGAGCAATTGCAAATAAGCATAGCCACAATTAGTTTGTCCAGCGTAAAGCCCGAAAACAAGTAAATATGTGCCAAAATTAAAAATGTTCTAAAACCCCACTTGGTATTTTATTATACTGACCATACTGTTGAATGGTGATGATTTATATATACAATTGAATCACCGATGCAGAAGAGATGAGAATTTTGAAAATCCGGATTATTGATCCATAAAGATTCGATTGCAAAGGATAGGACCCAAACGTATGGTTCCCCGCTTCCAGGCAAGTGTCCTGCCGACTTATTTACCACGGACGCTGCCCCACATTACACATGAGCACTGGAGTTCCAAAATAATTTAACACACACCGCTTCCTAATCGGTCGACATCTGCTGTCTTTGCAGACCTCTGAAAAGGAGTATCTTTATGCTTGTACCACTTGGAATATTTTCCAGAACGGATAACTAAATTTTCACGGTGGTATCGTCAAACTGACTTAACCAGCGGTTAGTTGTCGGCGAATACACAGTTTACCGCTTGCAACTGTTATAGATCTACTACCCTTCCAGCTGAATCAGGTTTCTTTCACGGCATGACTGTCTCATTAGTCTTAATTGTATATTCCTACACGCCGGAATCTCTATTGAAAAATTCCTAAATCACCCCACTCTACCTACAATCCGTAAGTAGCTCAGAGAGGGTATGATTCACACGGTGAGTGGAGCAATCAGTCGAGAAGCCAGTCAATAGACGACCGTATGAAGTGAATTACGTTAACAAAGGATGAGTAGTCCTATATGCTATCTGAGCGCGAATTAATCACACTGCCAATCAGCCGTTGACGGCCGAACCATTATGTTCAAACAGTCAAGGGTTCGGAGCTCCTAACCGGAGTATAGTGAGGTGCGCTTTGCTGATGATTCCCAATATAGATAAAACAGCCAAACAGTGCTCCTCAGATTTCCCCCTTACACTGGCTTCATTTAGAAGACAAAATATTCCTTGAAGTATCTTCCAATGGTTGGATCGCCCGACGAGCGCAAGTATACAAGTGTTGTTGTTGTTCGTTGGAACTCTGATCCTTAGAACTGAAATCTCTTTCAGGATGGCCTCGAAAAATCCAGAGTAGGCCCCTTAACTAAAGAAGTCGTTCAGCTGTAAAACCCTTTCGGTGCCCAACTGCCATGCCACTCTAGAGAAGCACGACGGTTGGGATACTTCCAAGCCCAGACAGGGGAAGTCAAGATGCAAAGGTCGGGTTCGAACCACGGGCTATGCGGTCAGCGAATTCGCGCTCTAGTCGCTGAGTCATTTCACCCACCTACCGCTTCAGATGGACGTGTCAAGACATATCGATGTAAAGAATGCCGCGTTTATCGTGTGGGCTGTCTGAATCCTAGGCTTGAAAATCCTCCTCTAAAACCTAGTAGCCATAAAAACCAACTGCAGAAAAATACGTCATTTCCATTATAACTGACCCCCATCAGGTCAACCGCAGGTGGAAAAAAGGTTATCTTCAAAAACAGACAAACCAATTCCTTTTCTCATAGCATCTTTGACTTATGGAGACAGATGTGCCGACAGATTTTCCAAACTCGGGATTGAAAATCAGACGGAAAGATTAATCATGTTTAGAAGCTGGTGCTCCACCATCTAGGTCACTGCAACTTCTGACTGATATCAGTTTTCACATAACTGAAGCAAACATCAGCAATGACTTACCAACTGCTATCCAAACAGCAAACCGAATCCAAGTTATGGCTGACAGCTCAGCGATAAGAAACATGTTGACTGTGAGTGTCGCGCAGGGGAAGAAGGGTACAAGTGGTAACTGTTGGAGAGAAGAACAGCAACGAAGACATCGTGAATAGAGGCTGTCAGAAATGCTCCTTCTGTGAAGTGATTTCATCTTGTTCATAATTAGTGTGTGTAAACTGCTTCCGATAGAGAGTATATCAAAGTTGTTTTAAACCACTCTAGATTAAAATAGCGGGGCAACTCCTGTTATTCCGTAAAAGCCAAAGTCATCGGATATGGGCGGCATATATTTGTCACGTGACAAGTACAGGAAGATCAAGTACATTGGCTGGAAAGCAAAGCGTTCGTTTCACAGTATGAGCATAACCGTGGTAGCGCAAGGAACTGGTGAGATATCCATTTAAACCATCGTGTGGCCGGATCTGACTGGATGCGGAGATATTCAGATCGATCGGGAAAATTTCATGCGGTCTTAAAACACCATCGGCTAAATGAGTTTGGGCAAGCAATACTACCGGTAACTTACACGAAACAGCTCCTGGCGAGGGGCCGGATGTTGAACAAAAGCCGCCATGAAAACGATGCACAGTGCCATCAACAATAGCATGATTGGTACAAGCACTAGACGCCAAATGGGCCAAACGCTTTCGGGTGCACCAGTCTTTATCAAACCAACGGCAGTTGCATTGAAGGCAATGTAGATGGGGATGAGGATCTTCACAACCATGCCACGGTGACCCTGATTCAGTATGCGTACCACACTGACAGGAAGGCATTTGGCCCACGAGCATTTCAAATAGCCAGGTTGTCCTGTTCGCATAATCAGTGGGTCGACCGTGTTTACCAGCTGCATTCGGAAGTAAGATAACACAATCCTCATTGTAAGCAATGTGAAAGCAGTATACTTAATGACTTAAACCAAAAACGAAGTAAATCATCGCACTGTCTTGCACGGATGTGACGTATGACCCGGGGAAAGCATGAGGACTGTCCAATTCTATAAAAAAAATCAGTCGTGAACACAGGGACAAATTCAGGTGATAGATCTATTGGTCAGTAGTCCACGTGTATTCTTTCTCATCAAATGACCGAACGACGGTGAAATTCAGAAAACTTTGTTGAATCAACCGGTTGATATGGTGACCGGTTAGAAGTCACTCGTTACAAACAGGATTTCAGATACTTAACTAAAATATACTTAAGCAATCCTCTTTTTAAATTGGGTTTTGTCTCATACGTGGAGTCATCGCAGAGTAGAGAATCACTTTGTGGTTTTTTATCATTGTCAGGCTTTACCTATTCCGAACCTCACGAGAAAATGTAGCAAATCTCACAAACGTGGGATCCAGCTGGGTTCAAGGTGAGTCTCTGGCAAAACCAAGTTTGTTTGCAAACGAGTGTATTTCGCTAAAATGTAGCAAGTTTAAAGACCGAGACATTCCGTATTGGTTTATGAACGCCACCAATTGGTCATGGGCGGTTGACCTATGGTGTGAGTTGATCGTACTCAGAAAGCGACTCAGCCCGTACTCAGCACAACTCAATTTTCTACCATACAAGCTCCTCTGAAATGACCTGATGTTGAATGCATACGACTGAACAAAAGATTGTATCAGTTGGTGGAATAATCCCCACCGGAGCTGAATCGCCAATGACGAATCAGCTGTACAGTGTTTTGAGGCTTCTTAGGCGTGGACTGGCTTTGCCACGAAGCAGGAATTCCACACCGGAAACATCGAAATATCTTCACCTTGAAAAACATCGGAATCGTCTCTGTTCTCGAAAAAGGATCTAGAAGACCTAGTGATAGTCTCACAAGGTTGCCTTTGCTAATGTGATAGCTCCCGAATGATAACTGTGAGGAAAATTAGTTAGGAACTCAGCGAAAAACATTCATTTGAAAAACAATCTGGTTTTGCTGCAGACTCACCTGGAACCCGGTTGAATCGCTCGTTTATGATGTTTTTACACAACCGAATGTACTGCACCAGGCTGCCTTCCAGGATAGAATAGCAATTAAAACCAAAGAGGTTGGCGAACTACACTCATTTTTACGCGAGACTCACCTGGAACCCAACTGAGTTCCTCGTTCATAAACGAGAGATTCAGCTGAGTTTCGGGTGAGTCTCCTGCAAAACCAAAGTGGTTTGCAAATGAGTGTGTTTCGCTAATTTTGTACACGTTGGGTTCAAGTAGAACGTAAGGTTGGCGAAAACTCGGGGACTACGCCTAACTGGTGAGCCCCAAGAAGGGCGAAACCGGTCGTGGGCTGTCAACCAATTTTCAGCAACCTTATGGGTAGTGTATTACGTCTATACAAGTAACGAACCAATTTACAACGGTGGCCTACTGAAGCTGAAAATGTATCACGTAACTTTTCTTCAAGGGGGTAAAACAAATACCCAGTCGTTTACACGATCCAAATCTTCTCACAGTACCGATAATCAGCAAGTAGCCAAGAAGATGCAGTGAATCGCACGATGATTGACCCTTCCAAATAAGACGTTGTTCAGGGAGTCAGTCAGTACGTGACTACGTGAAATGTATTCCGTGGTTGAAGGATGGACAGTCATGTATCCTGGTCTAAGTGCTGTTGGTCGAATACTCAATTGTTCAAACTGCTAAACGGGAGGACGCAAGTTAGAAATGTCTTTGAGTTTCATAAGATGCGCACTGTTTACGATTCCCAACAAGGAGGATACAGCTGTATGGTGCTTCTAGGTGCATCAGCACGAACCCGCCCCACTTGCATGAAGAAATCTTCATATGGTATTACGCGGGTCTCCACTATGTGATTCGGATAGTATCTGCTCCTCTCCATTGAAAAAGCTTTCATATGTTTGGTCCTCACGAACAATAAATAGGGATCGAGGAGAGGCCATCTCACTGGTGGTCGGCTATAAGCCAATAGTCAGGCTCCCAAGGCGCTTGACTTATTTGCTGAACTAAACAAGCCAGGCTAATTTCACCAGCAACTCTTTTCGAATTAGGTGGCGAGCAAGTGAAAGCGATTGTACTCCCATCAGTCCAGGCGTGTGAAGCTTTACACGTACATCCACATAGGCAGGCACCATTCGTCAGCAGTGAGGGGAAGATAGACGGTTTTGGTTTAACCCATGCAACAAAATCGGGCTAGTCCCTATTAGAAGCTTCAAACTTAATTCAACTATCCCGAAGTACATTATTCTGAGTCTACTTCAATTGCCAAACGCCCACTTATGGAGACCAGAAACTTGCATGGTCTGCATTCTATCTTTATACCATCGGTTAACGTCCACTCCAAGCTTCTGCATCCCATCTGTTTCATCATTCGAACCGAAATCCGCGACGTAAACGGCACGTACGTTTACCTGTAAACATCTCCATATCATTAAGCTCGACTCTGCAAATCTCGTTATTCCAGTAAAAGTAGTTTGTTTCCATTGTGCATAACCTTTTCCCGTCCAATCCACACTAATTTTGATGTCAAGGTTGATCGTGAGTTCATGCTGTCTAAGGATGCTGCGTCTGACCAACAAGAATTTAGTATGGCGTGATACTCAGACACTGCGAACGCCGACAGGGTAAGAGCTATCAGTCCACTCACTCAGGCCATGAAGCGGGCCGAACACACACCACAACCATGTGACTTTGTGCTAACAGAGTCACATGGGTGAATATTCGAATTCACCGGGACGACGAATAGGATTGTACGTTTAAATAATAGTTCAACAACAGATGTCTGGCAGGCAAAATTGGTGGAAGGGGAAACTGGCAGCTTCTTGCGCCTAAGCCACTGGAAACCCAATGAGCCGGAACAGCTTTAGGGTCACTGATAGCTTGGATGTCACAAAACCCCCTTAAAACCTGAAAAAAATCCGGAACTGCTGGCTCCTTTATACTATTAGAAGTGTGCTCTTGTGTCTGGAACGGAAACCTCCCAGTTGAGCTGGAATAAACCTGACTTACCTGTGCCGAACTGTTATTTTGTTTAACCTCTTTGCAATCAGGAAGTTCCGAAACGATTTTCGTAACATCACGCTCCTCCGGTGGTGTAGCGTAACGCAACACGAGCAGCCCGACTGAGGCCATGGAGTAGGCGATAAGCGTGCCAAGACTAAGAAAGTCCGCAAGACTGACGATACTGAACAGTATGTCTAGAATGATCGTCAACGTGGCAACAAAAATTGTGGCAATGATCGGGGTCTAAATAAACGTAGAATGAAGGTGGGGCAAGAGTGAAAGAACTGAGTTGTTGATTAAAACGTCGACTCATGAAAGACTGCAATTTATGTTCATCAAGCTCAGCTTAGCAGCTACGACTGGACAGAATAAAGCACGCCTGAAACCGACTAATCGCCGGTTAATGTGGTTCCTGAAGAAGTCTGGCAACAGACATAGCTACCTTCAAAAGCAACATACAAACGTTTGTATCTGGATGTTATGATCTTCCTCCAACAACCGCGTACACTTGGGAAGTAAAGGAGTTTCTGGCGGATAATTCGAAACATAGCTTCACCTAAAGATAGCCTTGCCACCCACGCTTATGCTCAACGTGGATTGTGAAGTGCAAAGTTAGATCAAATTAATACGACACAGTTGTCATTTTGGTGACCTGCTTATCCTACGCTTCGCAAGTAAGACCCAACCAAGACTGTCTTGTATAGAATGAACAGTATGTCTCTGGCTAGTGTGTGCCCATTTGAACCAGAAAGAGACACTCGTCCAAGAAGAACGCAAGAAATATCCTTGCCACTACAAGTAACACACTGACAAATGAGCCGGGAATTCACAGAATTCATGTCGCTTGTCCACCTTCAAATCTCATACGATGCCACTGGAAAACGCTGACATCACTCCGGCGTGTTAAATGCTTTTTGCGGTGTTCCCTTCTCTACAGTTCTCTTCTGACATCCTTTTGGTGCAGTCCACGAGAATCACAGGATGAGAGAGACGTAGAGAGAAGTGACCTGGAGGTCAAGAACAAGCATGGTTAGCGAAAACTTCAGGTCACAAGTTGGGGTTAATATCTAAGATGGATTTTTGTCTGCCTGAGGTGATGGTGGTGATGCGGGTTCCATGATTTTACAGTCGCTATCTCGCTTATCCACGGTAAGCCGCTGTAACTATCATTATGGTATTATATAACCACATAATTCTTGTTCTCAATGAACCAATACAGACCAGTGCAGGCTTCCGAAAGTCAGCCCAGAAGAATCCCTTATTCGTGATGTAATTAAATAAAATAAACTACGCAGGGCCACCTCATTGTTTTACTGGCCTTGCATAACTGACTTATATGTGTATAGGAGGAGGCTATCTCCTCTTCTTCAAACGTATAAGTATAGGGCCTGATCATGTGGACATTTTTCGTATGTAGCCCTTCAGATTGAAATGACAACATTTGTTAAGAATGAAGTAACAGTCGTTGAAGTTTTTGTTAAATCTTGGAATTTTCCGTGGAATTTCTCCAACCGCTTTCATTTTGTCCGTATATGCAGCTAGTTGTCTGGTCGGCTCCCAGTCAGTATAGTGCTTTGATTCTTCCGCTCACCATGCCAGGAAACTATAGTTCCGATCAGCCTCCCTTGGCCTAACGAGTAAGTGTTCAAACTACTGGCTGCGAAGCTGCGGGTTTGGAACTCCCTGTTGGGGTTTCGTGAGGTGCTCACTGGCGATTATTCCCAAAAGCAATGAGACAGCTGTACAGCGCTGCTCAGCTTCTGAGCATATATTTGTTTCACTTACAGGACGAAATTTTAATTGAACGTCTTCTACTTAGTCCGTGCTGGCCAATCGACAGCATCTGTGCCCGCTTCGGCGCACACACTATCCACTTGAGTGTAAATGATAAAGCCGACAATGGATGTCTTCAGTAAGTTTGTGGCGCTTAGTAATTGGACCCTAACTGGCATTGCTGGTGATCTCAATGAATGAATTCAACAATAAGACAAATAAGGTTTCTGAGGCACTAATCTGATGTGTAGCATTGTGTCAAAAAACTTTTTTTCAAATGATTAGGGTACAGATTCAAACAAAACATTTGCTGGTTCACTGAGCTTGGCAAGGGGACAGAATTCAAACGCCAAGCTCAACGAACACAATTTGACAAGCGAACGGCGAGCAGAAGTCGTAGCGTTGTCAATAAGAACTGCTGTTACATACGCAGTGTTTCAATCAGAGACCAGTATTTCTACAATGAAGTGAATTTGAATGGAGATATTTGTCTGAGAAAGCCTCTACGAACACCGCTAGACCATTGTTTTGCGGAGGACGATCGGTTGGAATCGGTTCACTTGAGGATGAACACGTGAATTCAAGTGTCGATGGACAGCAAAAAATCCCCAAATTCATTGCGCAATTGAATGAATTACAGTTTCCACGCGAATTTTGAGAGAACCAATGGAATGCACACCAAGCAACCCTGGTTTGCTTGTTTTTTATTTTATTTGTGCTACTTACAAGTAGCTAAAGACTAATTGAAATGGACCCAATGACCTCTGCAGCGCTAGTCATCTGACTCCCGTGTGCACCTATTCCAATCCCTTCTTTGTGATGCGCAGTTATTCGTACCTCATCTATCTCGTTGTAAAGGAACGAATCCAAAGCAGCAGCAAACAACATACTCGCAGTCTCTAAATAGATAACTAGACCAGAACACTAAAGTGGTCCCTAAGTGGTGTACAGGTGTCGCGGATAAACCTGGTTCGTCTTATGCAGGTAGACTTACAAAAGTCAACACAAGAGAAACAACCTGTGAAAAAAGTACATTACAGACCTTGAATGGATGGCACACTTTTGCAAAGAAGGTGGGTAGGAGTCCGTCTTCAGCCATGGCGTACGCACCCCGAGGACCCGCTACCAAACTCGATAATAAACTAGAGGTCAGACCAATCAGACACCCGATACCGACAAAATAGAACATGCCGGTTCGGGCTTCGACAGGCCCACCATCCAGATTGTCGCGAAGTCCACTTAGAAACGGAGTTTCCGGACTAACCAGAAACCACGGGTAGTAGAGAACCAAAGCCAGGGACGCCACGGAGGTCAGGAGAGTCACAGTCGTCACCGCAAGCACATTGGCTCTTGGAAGGTCGCGGCAAGGTTTTTTTGTTTCTTCGGCACATGCGGATATTGCGTCAAATCCAATAAAAGCGTTGAAACAGATTGCCACTCCACCCACCAATCCACCGACACCGAATGGTAGAAAATTCACGTTGGGTGAGTTTGGATCTGTTTCTTGAACTGTGGACGGTACGGCAGGAGATATGAAGCTGCCATTCGCGTAGACGAACATGTAGATGGAAGTAACTGAAAGCACTCCAATATAAACGACAACAAAGAAAGCTGTCAGACGCGCGCCGCCACGAACCCCGCAACATGCGATTGCGCTAAAGATGATGATCAGGCCAGCACCAATAAAGTCCGGGTACTCCGCTAGGACGTCTCCAGGATTGCCCATTCTGTTTTGAGCAGAAAATGTGATAAACACATGAGTATTCCAAAGGAAACACCCCACTTAGTCTAGACTTCGAATACAAACTCGGATGCAACTGGTAGGAGCTAAGAATTGATCGATGCAAGTGGGTTCCAATAACCCATTGGAAGGAAGAAGTCGCTTTTGAAATGTACAAGTTCAGTTAGATTTGTCATATATCTACGAAGGTAGGGGTGACGAAGCATAAAACCTACAGCCCAAATAGTTTTGAATTTACTTGGAACAACTTATTCCAAAGGTCCTGCCAACATACTGAGTGCACTGCAGTCAACATCTCTTCGACAGAGTAGTTGCAAAACATTGGTTAGATGTGCATCCTGCCAATTTCTTTTGCGCCAGTACTGAATATCGGAATTCCTCAATCCATATTACAGAGACCATGGGAAAACCGCTCACGTTATTTATTCTGTATCACCTGTCAATCTGTCTACTAAAAATGATAAGCCACTTGGGCTCGAGTTTGATCCATTAGGTCAAGTGCTCTGGGTTTTTCGGTAAAATCTGAATCTCCCACAATTGAAAAATCACAATATCCTGATTGTGTATACTACTATATGGTCAGGATGATGCAAGAAGAAAGTTCCTTGAATTCAAAAAACTTCCGTCCGGAAGTTTGTGGACACAGGTCGCGTACAGCTGTCGGTTAGCAATTAAGATGAGGTACCAGTACGGTTAAAACCGGCTTCACAGAGTGGGAGCTGCCTGTCAAGTTGAGAATGATCATTTATGTATTCAAAAAACTTCTCGTGCTTATAAGAGCCATTGAACCTACCTGAAATTCACAACTGAGAGCAACAAGAGACAAGAAGCGAGTCTCCAGTTTCCCTCTAGGAAACTTATCACGTTGATCGGTCATTCTGCTCGTCATGGCAATCTCCCATAGCTGGCCACGACGCATCGGCTCTCCATTCAGCTTGGCATGAACAAGCAGAACTAGTCAAAACAGGTCTGCGATTTGGTGAGTGAATATAGCATCGAGATACATCGAACACAGTCTACATGAACCAGCCAAGGACCTGCGCATATCAAGGCTGCTCCTTCTCTCGAGCAAAATCTTGAACCGTTTCAATTCTGGATGCACTCCCTGAAACTAAGTCAATCCTTGCTGAAGGTCCGATTTGCATAATGCAACTACTTCATTCTTGTTAAGCACCAACGTCTGCGGAATTGATTGATTCCAATCGTGTGATGTATTCTCATAAATGGTTGAATATTTTTGCGTAGGGGAATGTTACTTATATCACGTAAATTCTGGAAAGAATTCCCATACTGAATAGAGATTCTGTTCTACAAGTTAAGGTAATCTATGCTGAAAATACTAGAGGCATCACACAGCTGTTTTTCCTATTATGAGTCACATATCTTAAAAAACTCTAGGGGATCTCGAACCCTCTTGGCTAGTAGTTTGGACACCTAACCGCTCGGCCATGAGGAGTTGAGCGAACGGTTAAGTGCTCACATTACTAACCGGGAGGTCGCGGCTTTGAGACTCACTACTGTAGTTTCGTGAGATGCGCATTGCTGATGATTCTCAATAGGGATAAGACAACTGTACAATGATTCTCGTCTTCTTCCCATGGACTGTTTCCACTAACAGGACGAAATTTTATTGAAATTCCCAGATATCCTCACTACACCGCAGATTTTGCATCTACGTAAGACGATATCCAAATGATCTATGAAACCTACGGTGCTCATTGTCTTTCCGAATAGGGTACTTGTTTGTCTGTTTTACTGGAAGCTCACGTAACGTGCTTAGGCTGTGTTAATTAAAAATCTGAAGGCGGAAATAGCTGGTTTGGAGGTGGTTCACTTCACCCTGTAAACACCCTCAAGAGTATCCTGAGTGTGACGACACAGAAGGTTAGATAATACATCCCAAAATACCAATGCTCACCGTCCCACATTCCGTATGATCCAGTCACTGATTTTGCCACCAGTAAGACCGTCCAACATACTGCTCCAACCGCGAGCCACGGTAGCGGTACCCAAGATATATTCCAACAAGATAGACCATCCGGTTAGAAAGGCAATGAATTCACCGAGCATAATGTATGCATATGAGTAAGAGGATCCAGCCTGGCGGGGATCAGGTAAACGTAAGACTGGATTGAATTTTCTGGATATGATTAACAGAGATAGGACCAGAGAACATAGAAACAGAGGTAAACCTTTCTGTGATGCCTGGACAGTTCGTTATTCTAGCCATATGGGTGTTATCTGACTGCTGGTTTGGGACGTAATAATTGATCTATAGATCGATTGGTTCCTGGTTTACTCAGATGCAACTGGGTAATTTGTTTTTAGGGTACTTCTAATGTTGACCAAAAACAATACTCTTGTCTCGTTCTACTAGAGATCAGCATACATGATTTTATTGTCAATGCCGTCATTGTTGATGACGTCATCATCATCATCAAGGATGTGTACAATCGACTGAATACGAGTCAAATGCAGCGGCAGTTGTGTCCACTGTCATGCCTTCTAATTGGTGTAGTCCTGTGTTCAGTTAACAGTCGGACGTGGTCAGCGTGCGTGGGTGTGGTCGCATGCACGCATTGTGTGTGCTTTGACTAGGAGGTGCCTCCGTTTGTTGCGCTGGCTGTGATGCGTCGTTGTTGGGACCTCTCTTTGGGACCTGGTTACTATGCCTACTAAGGTGTGCAGCAAGCCCATTCCACCGCGCACCTAGCTGAGGTACGTTGGTGGCACATTTGCGACCATCTCGGCCACTCAGCGGCAAGCCTGTCTAAGCTGCTTGAAAGGACACGGAGCAATATACTGCTCTGATACGACAGAAACTGAAAATTTTCCCATCCACATGTCAAACGCGCAGTTGTCGAATCGCTGATGAATCGCACCAAAAAATATGCTCGGACGAGTCCATACGAGCAGACGCACTGCAGCAACTCAGCAAATGTTACAGCAAAAAAATATCCATAAATCTAACGGCCCAACAAATGGGGAGAACGCTACCCGGAAAGTGAGGCAGGAAGACGAAAACCCGATGGTCATCGTGGCAATGCCCTTTAGAGTTTGCACTTCAGAGGCCATTCAAAAAATACCTTGGGATTATGATATTAAAACATTTTTTCCGCATTGACATTACCTTGTAAGAGTCAAGGACACAATCACACTGAAACACCTTACAAGCTGCGCCTACCAAATTCCCTATGCAGAATGTGCAGCCAAATACATAGGTCAGATAGTCAGGCAACTTCATGTACGGATCAGGGAGCCCAAACGACATGCGCGTTTTCCTCCAAGAAACTCAATAGAGTGAAATAAACTGGAACGTGATTCAGCCATTGCACTCCACTCATCTGAGTCAAGCCATTGGATCAATGTCGATATACTGCATGCAGGATTCAAGTCACACGTGGAACGGACATGCGCTGAGGTTCTAGAGGTTAATCGAACTGCATCAAACATGGTGATGTTGCCAGCATTCCATCTATCTGCCTAACTTATTAGGGATAGGAAACAGATGTCGAACAGGGATCTCAACAATGACGCATCACAGCTAGCGCAACAAAAAATGGAGGCACATCCTAATCAGAGCTGCACGCACGATCAGGCGTTTACGCACACAGCTAACACACCCATGAACAGTGACCGCGTCGGACTGTCAACTGATCACAGGAATACACCAACATCAGAGGATGAGATATTGGACCCAAATGACACTGCACTTGATCCGTATTCAATTGATTTCCTTGATAAAACTTGCCCACGGCAACCGAAACATCGGATTACAACAACTTAATCCACTACGTTGGTTTGACTTCAAAAATTCCATAGTATACGTGATGCTCAACCTTTTTAAACCTTCCCTAGTTGAATTAGGACCAAAACTACTAAGCTTAGGCGGATAGCTCTTGAATGACATACAGACACAGAACATCAGTAATGGTTTCGTAATATGGACCTGATTGATATGTGACAGTGTGTTAAGCAAATCTCATAAGTTACTGGTCCATCTACACGAATGATTCTATGTTACGGACTTGTTTTCTACTGACCGCCTGAAAAAAAAGTTTTCGGCAGACTCACACGAACCTTATGAATCTGTGCTTCGAAAATTCACTTCTACCAGGTGAGACCGACAGACATGCTCAAGCCAGCGAGACGGCCAAGTAGCTTTTATTGATTGGCTCAGATGAGTAGGCAGGCACGAGCCGCCATGTGTACGGAAACAAAACATGTTTTCTCTGGACATCAGAAATAGTCACTAAGCATGAGTTATGTTAGTGAGAAAGGTTGAATACAGGATGCCTGGTGGTCGTGTGCGCTCATTGTCACAGGTCTGCAACAAGCTGCTGGTGGTCGTGTGCGTATTGAAAATAGCGCTCATTGTCACAGGTCTGCAACAAGCTAGGGAAACCTAGCCAACATGTGAGGTATGTAGAAATACCAGCAGCTCAGGTACTTTTACCGGTCGTTGATCAGGTGGATGCTCAACAGGCTCATCAATCCGTTTTCAAATATTTCGGTACCAGTCAGGGTGCTCACGCACCATTAGAAGCTTACAATGCACTGCTTCGGATTTCCTGCTTTCTGTGGTCCCAAAGTTACTGAGTCGTGTGCGGCGATTGTGTGGCGTAAAACAAACCAAACCGTTTGCAGGAACACTTTCGCATCCGCGAAATACACTCATTTTGGACTAATTTAACTTCGGTGGGAAAGTCAAACGAATAACAGGTGAATTTCTCGTTCTTGATATTCTACAACTAAATGTAATACACGGATGCCGTCTCATGTTTCACTTGATACGATATTCGGCCTAATGCAGAAACCTTATGAACAGCGTTTCGTCATGAAAATACTTGGGCTGTTCACTGTCATTCAGTTTGTTGATAAATTAGGCAGTCTCAACCAATCAATGGCAGTCACGTGACAGACGCGTGGCACAATCCGCTTTCGCCTATTAACATAAAAATTCGGGGTAAATGCTTAGGCTCTCACTTTGAGAGTCACCAGGTCCTCGGGATCAGAACCGCATAGAAATCACTAAGACTGAAGTGCTAACCTGGTTTAACCTATAAATTTCACTAGGAAATTCAACTGCTTGAGCATGGTCAGTTGTTATTCCTAACTTTTCACATCCATCCTATACTGTCTGAGAATCTCTCAATCTTCTCACACTGATTTAAAACCGCAGATGAATACCCCAAATAAGTGGAGGCAGACTCACCTTGGGTATCCGACAGGCCAGTTCCGAGTAGACTAAAGAATTCAACAGGGCAACGGTTCCAGCCACCAAATAGGCCAGGAACACCGATGGACCAGTTTTTTTCTGCATTACGGCACCAGTTAGTACATAGATACTTCCGCCCAACATGGAGGCTAGGAACAAATCAGATGATCCGAGGGTAAACAGAATGTAGTCACGTGAACGGAGAGTGCTTAAAACGTTCAAGGATATCCTGTTACCTATCAAAGAACCATTAGTTTAGGTCACCAATAGGATGACTTGAGCTAGTCAGCTCGGGGATGTTGTTGAGACGACACGCCCGGAGCCACATAGACACCTACCGCACCCAAGAAGCAGAACTACAGCCAGAGACAGACATATGTCGATGACCTAACGAACGACGAACGTACGGAGTTTTCTCGGTACTTATGTAAAATTTCCGAAAAGGAATCAGCTAAGAAACGAACTGTGATGAATGCAAGCCTCGATGACTACAACCCACAGTCCCGTTTTCCAACAAACCCCGAAAGGTATGTGCATAATTTATCCACCGTGTCCCTTGACTCCACTCTGATCGAAGCTCTATCGCTAGGGCCCAAATTCTGTATCCCTCGCCAAAACCATAGTCGCCTTAGTATCGAGACACAGTTTGAAAGTCTCCATGATCAAATCCGACAACTATCTCCAATTAGTCCTACCAACCTAGAACATTTCAAGTCGGACTTAGTAAATTGTTGTTATCAATACACCCGTTATAAAGCCAAACCTCAATACCTGATAACAAAGAAACACAAGGATTCACTGAGGGAGCTACGTGCTCGCGATGACCTCATCATCAGTCGCCCCGACAAAGGTAACGGAATAGTCGTGATGAACAAAACTGACTATATACGAAAAATGACGGACATTCTGGCTGACACAACCAAGTTCAGCCAGACAGCCAACGACAAAGATAAAACGCTTGTAATAGAGCAACAATTGGCGACATGTCTGAAACGTCTTAAAGCAAACGGTTTCATCTCTAAGACAACCTACGAAAAAGTCAAACCCACAGGGTCAACAACGCCTCGCCTATACGGCTTGCCGAAAATCCATAAACCCAACTGCCTGCTGAGACCAGTCCTAGACATGTAAAACTCGCCCTATCACCAAATCGCACAATGGCTCGTCAAAATGCTTGAACCAATACGGCGACAAATGTGTCAATACAGCTTGCGAGATACATTTCAATTCGTGGACTCAATAAAGGACCTAGAACTGAAAGATTCGTTCATGTGTTCATTGGACGTGACTTCACTGTTCACTGAAACGATTAACTACCTATGTAACTACATAGAAGCAAATAATTTTCAGCTACCTATTCCAGTCAACGAGCTGCGTGAACTCCTCCTGCGATGCACATTGAATGTGCAACTACTGTTCAATGGCATGCTCTACCGTCAAATTGACGGCGTTGCCATGGGCTCACCACCGGGCCCAATGCTAGCCGACATTTTCATGAGTAAACTTGAAAATGGTCCCTTAAAGGCTAACATTGAGAATATGCAACACTACTGCCGATATGTTGACGACGTCTTCGCCGTTGTTAACAACAAAGACGAATTGGAGTCACTCCAACAAGAGTTCAACAAGGCCCACACTGCCATTCAATTCACCTCGGAGGGAGAAACAGACAACTTTTTCCACTTCCTAGATGTTGGCCTTGAACGACGTCACGATGGTACACTGAAACGATCGGTGTACCG